TCCTTATTTTGCTAGAAAGGAAAGAAAACACCAGAAACGAAGAAGTGACTTGCTCAGGTCAATACTGAGTTAGACAAGGACGTGGGACTAAAACTTGGGGCACCTGACTTCCAAGGCCAATGCTCTATCCACTGCTGTGTGCTGCCTCCCAAACGAACTTGCTGTCCCCCGAATGCCACCCTCTCCAAACGCAGATATAGGTTCCAAATTTAGGTTCCACTCGGAACCGCTTCGCGCAATCCCCTTGCCACTCGGAGGACCTGGAGCCAGAAGATTTAAGGGCTAGCTGGCGCGTAGACTTCCTTTAAAGTGAGACAAGCTCCCACTGCAAAGATTCCTAGTCCGGTTTGGGAAGGCGGGGGGGGGGGGTGGCAGGGTGGAGGAACTACTTTAATCCGGATTAAGGGATAAAGAGTGGAGCCCTCCCAGCCAACCCAAAGAATCAAAGTGGCGGAGATCCCCGCCACCCGAAGCTCGGGGGCAGGATTAGTCTGTTTGTTTGTTTGTTTACTCAGGGGCATTAGGGAGGAACCAGACAGAGTCTCCGGAGGCTCCCAGGCCCGCGCCTCCGGGTGATCAGAGAGATGTTCAATTAGGATTTTGTGGAAATCTAGCACCGGAAAAGGCTGCGCCCTCTCCCCGTTTTCCATTCCAGTCCCCTTCCCCCAGCTTCGTTTTTCCACCCTCCCAGTCTCCCCGCCCAGACCCATGAAGTTTCCTTTTTGCAACTTGGTCAGGATGATATTTCCTTTCTTCCCAAGGTCAACAAGTGGCGTCCCAGAGGAGCCCCTGTTCCCTATTCATCCCCAGCCCAAGCCTCGAGATCTAGAGGTTTGGCTCCAGCCTTCTCCCCCTCTGCTTCTGACTCTCCATCCATTACTGTAATCCGCTGTCCAAACACTGCGGCCTCGGAGACCCAGACAACAAGGCGTTGATGTAAACAGAGTGCTGGGGACAATTCTAATGATATAAATAAAATAACCATTAATAGCGCAAATCGCGAAATAAACTCGAGGCCAGAGATGCTGAGACTCGGGGCGCTGTAGGGTTTGTGTACACAGCGTTGGACGCCACGCATCCGTCAGAGCAGCCGGGAATTCCGGATCCATGGGAAATCTAAACCGAACGCAGGTGAGGAGTCTTCAGACACGTCAGCTCAGCCTCGGAGCTACCTAAACACACCCAGACAGACACACATACACAGCAGCGAAAGCAAGCACCCATCCATCACGCAGATATCGAAAACAGACGCACACGCAGCAAGCACACACGTACATGCATAACCAAGACATCATACACATTTCGTAAACAAACATATTTGCAACAAATCCCCAATTCCCGCCCCCCAAACACACATTCACCAATACCCCTACTTGAAAAGGCTCCAAACATTTAAAACATACACACCAAAAACCAAGGCAACCCCAACACATAGTGTACTAAGTAGATATGGAGGCGTGGGGGCCGGGGGGAGGGTAATCGAGTTTAAGTCAGAAGAACTGGATTCTAAGTCTGGTTGCCAAATTTACCTGCTGTGCGGCCTAGGCCAGTCACAATCTACAGGAACCTCAGTTTCCCCATCAGTAGGGCGGGTTTGCATTACCTGTACCTCACTGAGCTGTTGTGAGGAAAGTGCCCTATGACACTTAAAGCTCTATAAATATGTTATTAGTAACTCACATTTGATGTAAATATTTCTTATTGCTAATTCACACTTTATGCTGTTGTCAACAAAAACAAAATCATTGTTATTAAAAGCATTAAACACACAAACCAAAAGCCTTTACACACACACACGTCTTACATAGGTGTCAGTCCACATACTAGGCAGATCAAATATATAGACATGACTTCAATATGTACCCCAAACATCCCAAACACAGTTAAGTCTATGTTTTATCTTTTTTAACAAGGAATCACAGGTTTAGAGGTGGAAGCCATCTTGGAGATGATTAGTCCAGGAGTTCTTAACTCTTTTGCATGTCTTTTACTTTTCTTTTTATCCCTAGCTCTTATCACAATGCCTAGCATAAAGAAATACTTAATAAATGCTTATTAGCTGACCCCTTTGGTAATCTGTTGAAACTTATAGACTCCTCAGAACAATGTTTTTAAATGAAGAAAAAAAACAACATAGTATTTCAAGGGAAGACAATTACATTGAAATAGTTATTTTTAAAAAATTTAATAAACTAGGCCACAGACCCCAGGTTAAAAATCCCTGATCTCATTCAACTATCTCATTTAAACAGAGATAAAGTGACTTGTCCAAGGTTACCCAGCTAATAACTGGCAAAAGAGGAATTTGAACCAAGTCTCCAGCCTCCAAGAATCTTTGCTCCAGTCTTTGCCTCCGTCTGTCAAAGGCATTTGTACACTGCGAAACCAATGGGTTCATAAACATACGTACATCCAAGATAAATGACCTTAGACATGTCCTGCCCCAGATCATATACCCTCAAGTCAAAGGATTTGTCTGATCAACCCTTCTGAGATTATAAAGGTTACGTTTAATGTGGGAGACAGCCATTTTTCTAAAGTGCCTAGTGAGAGAGACATGTGCCTTCCATTCCCTGTGACCTGTTTTTACATCCAGGATGGGAATTTCTGGGGCCCACATAAATGTCAAAGATTCTACTGTTCAGTAGCCCTCGGAGCGGAATGGGGCCGGGTGAGTGTACACCTGCAGTGACCCAGATCAGCCTCAGGCAGCTGAGCCCCCAAAGCTGATTTCCAAATTGTGTATAACTGAGTGTTATACTCGAATCCCTCTGTTCCCCAAGCGCCTCTGTATTTACTCAATAAATTCCCTTAGAAAGGAATGAAGCTGCTTGAGTTGGAGTTCTGAATCATTTTTGGATTGGGGCAAGAGGATCTTTGGGAAGGAATGGACTTGCTCGTGAGAGTCTGTGAAAAGTTCTGTCTTCTTCCAGGCAGCCTTGAACATCTCCCGGCCAGACTTTGAACACAAACTTTTTTCCGCCCCCTCACTTTTAGGACACTGATCCTGAGCAGCCCAGCACCCTGGAGAGAGGGACTTTCCTCTAATGCCCGACCCGACCTCTTGCCTAGCTAGCAGGAGACTGGAGATGGACCCTGAAGGCAGCGCAACAGCAGGCGTGAGGGGTGCAAGAAGGGAAAGGGACCTAAGAAAAGGAGGGGGGCTCGCTGGGAGAAGACGGAGCAGTCAGGGAGAGGAGCTGCCTGCAACGACTGGGGGAGGGGGTTCTTCTCCACCAGGGCTGCCGCAGTGTTTATCTCCAGCCCAGAAATCCTGCAGCTTCCAGTAAATCCCGTCACAGGCTCACATTCTTCACTAGGAGCTGTTAACAGTCGCCTCTGCCTTTTATGAAGCATTAAAAGTTTCGGGGGGAGGCGGTGGGGGTGGGGAGAGTTTAAGAGGAATCGAGGGGCCAGTGAGACCTGATCAGGAATCCGCCGAGGGAGGAGGCCTTCGGGATCCCGGCGGGACTGCCTGCCTGTCCCGGGCCTGTTGGTGGCCTCCCCCACAGAGGGGGAAAGAGGAGGGAGGAAGGAGAGGAAAGAAAGGGGTGGGGGGAGGGAGGAAGCAAGGAGAAAAGAAAAGGCTAAGGGGGAGAGGGAGGAGGAGGAGGATGACGACGACGAGAAGGAGAGAAGGATGAACTGATCAGGGTGAGCCCAGAAGGCTGAGAAGAGAGGAAAAGGCGAGAAGGCACACTCCGCCCCCCTCTCTCCCGGCTCCCTCGCCGGGCCGGGTAGGTTCTGCAGCTAGCTGATTTATCTGCATTCCAGCCTGGACACTAATTGGCCAGATCTTTATCTAAACACGATAACAATGACTCGAAACTTTTGGGTTTGTTTACAGCAGCTAAAAATGATGCATTTGTGGGGACTGAGGGCTGTGGGAGGGGGAAGGAGTGCTGGAAACTGAGGTCGGGCTCTTGAGATCTCGTAGCAGTAGCGATGTTTGAAGTGTGTGGGGTATTCGACACAAGATGTATTTGGGGATTGATTTACTTACATCTGGGGACTTAATGAGTACAAATCTTAATTACGAGAAAGATGATTTACCTTATTTGGGGAAGAGAAGAAATATTGATTGATAAGGAAGCATTAACATTCTTAAGGACAAGGGCGATGTCCTGGTTTGAGGGGAAGTCGGAGGAGATTGGCTGAAAGTGGCGCAGCTCAAATCGCCTTCCTCTATTGACAAGTTTGGCCAAAGCGGAATCCGCCAGTCTCTGGGCCCACATCCGCCAGCTTCTGCGGATCGTACAGTTTTCAGGCCCAGCCTTGAATCCTATGCACGCAAGTGTATGAGTATAGAAAGAGAAAGAGGAAGTAAGTGCCCACACGTACCTTATCAGTGTATGTGATTAGTGCATGAGGTGTGAATGGAAGTTTCAAGGACTGATTAACATAAAGCACACTCTAATATCAGCTTCCTTTCGGAAGAATTCGGAAAGTCAGGGTGTGAGGCAGGTGTATTCATTTTTTTAGTTTTCGGTTTTAGTGTGTGTATGTTTTCTAATATACACATATGAATTGTGCATTAGCATGCACAGAGCCAAACTTAATTAATGGAGATATCTTGCACTTAGAAGTGGGTTTTTTTTGGTCTGGACCTGTGATTTCATTGGTGTAGGAATTCTGCTTTTAACATTCATTCATCCACTCATTCATTTATTCTAACTGTGAGATCTTAAGGAAACGTGCTTTGATGAAGAGAAAAGAAAATAGCTTTTGTGTAAATCTCTGTAATTTTGGAGTGCTTGAGGGTTCTTGAAAGTGTTCCTCTCAAGTAGGAGGGAAAGTCATAAAGGCAGGTGAATTTAAGCATATCTTCAAAATAACATATTTCAAAATAATGAACAGAAATGGTGCCAGCTTTATAACCCAGTAACAGCGTAACCTAGTCAAAACAGTAAAGACTAGTGACACATGCCTTAAAAGAAAATAATTGTGATGGCTTTCTGGGAAGAGGGTGGAAGAGGATTCAAGGGGAAATTTAGGCAATGTAAAGACAAAGACATCAATAACATTTATTTAAAATTACAAAAAGAAAATAGCATCTATGGAAAACAAAAATTCACCTTATTAACTCCCCTTCCTATTTTAAAGTTTCCCTCCCAAATCAAGCCTATTATTTATTTGCTCATGTTAATCTAAGAAAACAGGATTTGACCAGCAAAATGAACTTCAAGTAAACTCTTTGACCCAGGTGGTTGCAAATGTCGAAGCAGTACAAGTTAATGAGTTTTCATGATGTATGCTTGTTGTATATAACACATATATATCTCACCCACTTCCTGGTAGTCTGATACACTCATATGTCTATTAGGATTAGATTATAACTTCCTGAGGGCTATGTCATATACAGCTTTGCTTCTCTAGTACCTAGCACAGTGCCATTGAATGTGTATAGAATTACATGCCATGTGTTTTCCCCTATTTGTGAAAACAGAGCTCTTAGTCTCTGTCTCTATACCATCTATTTCCCAATATGAAGCAGCTGAAGCCACTTGCATGAAGTTTCATAGGGAAAGGGAGGAGAAAAGAAACCCTAAGATCTGGAAAACAGAAGAGCCTTCCAGCCTGCTAAGCAGTAGAGCTCAGAAATTCAGAGAACTCTGTCCCAACTGGGCTCCAATAATCTCAGCACTTTTGTATCTGTTCCCTCTCTCTAGAGGAGACCCCAGAAGTCAAGCCCAACCAGAGAAGTTCAGGAGTGTGTTCAGTCCTAGCTCACTCCTAGTGTCCCCCCCCCCATTTTGGTGCCAAATTTTATAGATTCCAAAATCTGGAGTCTTGAATTTACCCACTGGGACTAGAAGGAATGAAAACAGAGGGAGATGTTACATTTATGCCATTTATGGGAGGGGGGAGAATGGAAGAAGAGGAAAACAGGAATTAAGCACTGGGATCCCCCAGAATTTGCTACTGGTAGAGGCACCCCAAGTTCTCATCCCATGTGGTAGATGCTTGGTATCTGCCACAACTGAAGGGACTGGGGGTCTTGCTGGATCTGCAAATTTGGGGATTTCCACGGAAAAGATTGGGACCTTGGAAGAGTGCAGAAATACCTCCTCCTCTCTGAGAAGAGTTGGGCAGACAGGGCTGGAACTCTACTGCTTGGGGATAATGCCAGCAGTGAAGGTTGTCCTGTGGTAGGGGAGAAGAGCTGGAGTGGGGAGGGAGGGCTGCACAGTTTGGTGCTCTGGGGAGCAAAAGTACTTTCCAGAGCCAGGGAAGGCAACTTGGAATATTAATAACTTGATCTCAGTGTCTAAGGACATCAAAGAGGGAGGCAAGTGTTAGATTTTGGTTATAAGACCAAAAGCTTTCTCCCCCACCCCACCCTCAGTGTTCCCTCTTATTCTGGGAATTGGTCCTTCCAGTTTAATTAAATCTTTATAGAGCTAAGAGGAGGAAGAATAAGGGAAGGAAGGTGAGGGGAAAATAGGAAATAAAGAAAAGGACTGAAAGAGCATGTACTGGAACAGGAAGGGATTGAACCAGGGCTATGGGACAGCAGCAGACCAAATGATATAGCTAGGCCAGCCCTGGTTTCAGGCCTCTAGTGTAGCTCGGGCTTGCAACTCTCTTCCCAGGGCATCTTAAGTAGGCAGATTAAAGCCCAGAAGTCCCAATTAAGCCTGAACCAACAGAACCTGACCTAGTTCTAACTTTCTGCAAGCTGGCAGCTGATCCTTGGAAGAACCTTTTTTGAGACAGCTAGAAGGAGAGTATGTGGGAAAAGTCCTCAGGTCCCTGTTTGATATAACAATACTTTTCAGAACTCTGTTCTCAGAGGCCAAGGGGGTGGGTGACTGTAGGCTTAAACAGCTGGGAAGGGTTATAAGGACCAAGGCTGGGAAGCAAGGCCCTCCTGGAGGCCAAGCTTTTCTGCCTCCTATCCTCCATAACTCTGAAAAGGGAGCTCTTCTCATTGGTGAAAAACCCCGAGGTCTGGGAACATTCATCTTGAGGCCCCAAATGCGGAGCCAGATCCACACTTTCTTCCCAGATCTGAACCCAGCAGTTAAGATGCAGCCGAAGAAGATGCATCTTCCTCTCTGTTCCTGAGTTGAGCTGGGCATGGCCAAGTGGAGCCTTAGTTTCTGTGTGCTGGGGAAGGTCCTTCTTAAAGAAAAGAACAGAGCAGAGCTGGGGAGACGAGGACAGTCAGACAGCGGCACAGCGAGGTCTGGAAGTGCCTGGGTAAAGGTAGAGGAGCCAGGAAAATGGAGTCTCCTCACAGGCCCTTAGGGTGGGCAGCTCCATGAAGAGGTCCAGAGGTACACAAATCCCAAGTTCTGTAAATGCTGCTGAGCCGACTCTAGAAGGTAGGGCCTTAAACCCCGTCAATCTTCCAGCTTCATGACAAAGCTTGCAAGTCTTAGAGACAGGATCCACGGTTGGGAACTTTGTTTCTGAAGTGGAGAGGTTCTCTCTCTTTCGCTCTCAAACACCCCCGAAGCTCTTCACCTCCAATTCTTCCCCAGAAAGAAGAAATGATGTTCTGAGGCAGCCCAGTCTGAGATCCAAAGGAGAATGAAATGTGTAGTGAATGAAGGACTACAATGAAAACGCGGCGTAGGAGGAACAGATTACTAACTACCGCTTGTCAGTGTGAATAACGACTCCACCGATCCCGAAGTAGTGCTTAGCGCCGTACTAGGCACGAGGAAGGTGCTCAATAAATACTTGTTGAATTGAAGGGAGCTCTGCTTATAAGGGCTCAGGTACTTCTGAGGGCCGAATGTTTTGGAGTGGTCTTTTTCACCACCAGGTGATATGAAATTCTCAAAAATTCAACGAATGCACTCAGAGGAGCAATATAAACCTTAAATTAAAAGTACTCATCCAAGCCCCCATTTTTTACAGCCTCCCTAGCAGGACTCCTAGCCAACAATTGAGCCTTTTTTGTCTTTAACTCATCTCCTTTTGCCCAAGTATGCACTCGTCAGCCCGCCGTGGACCTGAGTGATGTTGGAAGAAAAGAATGTGGCTTGGGGGAAGGAGGAAGTGGCTCTTAATATTTTTCTTTTAATATAGTCTTCTTTTGGGTAATTAATGGAAGACTTGTACAAATAGAAGTCGACTTTCTTTGTCAGAATGAAATCGAAACTCTGGAAATTGTCCTCTCCTGAAATTAACAAAGAACAACACGGATTACATAACAGAGAAAGCACTACCTCCTGGGCGGACTGCAATTCAGTCTGGCTGGGAATCCGATTCCGAACAAAATCTAGGCGGTCTCTTGCCCTGGTAAATGTCGGGCAAAAGCGATTGAAATCAGACAACCGTACGGAAAAACAAAAACAAAAACAAAAACTTTGCCACACTCAGCCCCCTTTAGGAAAATAGATCAAATAGAATGAACACAAGCAATTGGAAATTCGTTGGGGTTAATGCTTTCCCGGAACGAGACACCAGGCATTCATCTGATGACAGAAAATGTGTTGCCCACTTCCCATAAATGACAAATTGTTACCTATATGCTATCCAAATTTTTCGAAAGCTTGCCTAACCCTTAGAAAAAAAGAAAAAAGAAAAAACGTCCTAGCAGAAGGGTTTAATGTTATGGTTGAGGAGGGAATATTTTCATCTAAGACGCTTTTTAAAATGACATTTTTTTTGAGGTAGAGAGTAGAAAATACTTTAAATAAATAAGTTTTCAATATAATTGTTTTGGATCTTCCTAAGAACTTTTCTAAACGTTGTCGAAAAATTCTTTGATTATTTGCTGGTAGCGATTTAACTCTTGACCTTTTAGTATTTGCATAGCAAATTATCTGAAGAGTTTGTAAAGAAATACAATGATACATTCGAAAATAATTGAAGGTATCTATATTTCGACTGTGGTCGTGTTTGTGTATTTATTGCAACTCTTCTCCGAAGTATATTATAATTATAGTTATATTTGAGCATTTAAATAAAACATTTTTTCCTCCAAAAGGAAACGAGTTACTAATTATAATCCTTAATTACATATCTATGGGTAAATGACCTATTACTTTATAAAATAATAATCATTTTTAAAAATTAAAACCAATAATTGCAGTGATTAAAGAAAATTAAATATTGACTCAATTTGCAAGGATAGATCTTTATCTGACTTGTATTCATTTAAAACGTGGAGTGGAAGCCAAAGATTGGCATCTAATGGGCTATATTTGGCAATTAAAAAAATACAATCCTTTAATCGATCGTAGTCTATCTAATCAGATATTAAGCTGTGATAATTAAATACAACAATCCACAGAATGAAACAGTTCCCACAGTTATGCTAATTGTTCAAAACCCGTATAAACCACAATCTTAAAACTGCAAATGTATTCAAATGAGGCAGTAGGGTTCCCAGAAGCTCTGAGCTCCTAGGCGGGGGAGCCTAGGTAATCGAACTCGGTACCTTTGCCTCTTTCCTTTATTTTCTTACAAAGGCTCCCTCAGACCTCATATGAAGACTTAAGGCAAACGCTGTTGGGCCTGCCGAGACAGACCGAGATGAATTCCTAGCGAAATGTTGGAGGTGAATGGAACCTTAAAGAATAAAGAATGGGACATGTACTTTTGTCCTGCAGAGGCGGATAAAACGAAACCCTTTTAGAACCTGATTGTGGGAGAAAGAAACTGGCTGCAGGGGTTGAGGGAGAGGGGTGGTTGAGGCAATCTGGGGCGGGGGTTGTTGCTAAATATAAATCTTCGTAAAGAGGAGTCAGGCAAAAAGTTATTCCAGGGATGCGCAGAAAGGAGAAAACTCTAGGTGAGTCCGACTGAGACTTTCAGCCCTGCTTGGATTCCAGAGGCTGAGTGAGGCTTGCTTCTCCACTCGGAGCTCCTCTAGCTATCTGGAAGGCTGCGCTAACGCCGTGGGCTAGGCCAGACGGCTCCCCCGCTGCTTCTAGCCTGCTTGCTCTGCGGCTCCTAACCCTGAGGAAACTGGTGGAGCTTTGAGGTGGTTTCGGGAGAAGGGGCGAGTAGGGCACCCTGTCCGTATTCTCTAGGGTTTTGCCTCGGTCCTCCAGAGGAATAGGACTTCTCTCCCAGTCCCAAGGGTTGCCTGACGCTCTCTAGATCTTCGTTTCCCTCCCAGGCGGCCTGGGAAGGATGCACTCACAGGTTACCCAGCTAGAGAGTTTCGGGATGCTTAGCTTGAGACTGAAAGCGGCGCAGGAGACTGCCTCCGGTTGGAGCTCGAAAGAGATGGAAAGAACCGGGACATCCTCCTGTTCGACTTCCTCTCCCCACGTCTGCACTAACCCTTAAGCCTGACCCTGCAATGCAAACCCGGGCTTGACGCCCCTATCCAAAGGCGGCAGAAGAATCGGGGCGGGGGGGGGCGGAACGGTTTGGGGAAAGAAAGAGGCCTGCTAGGTCGGCGTCTCGGATGATCTCTTGTTTCCTTTAGTTTGTGGAGCGCCTTCAAAGGAAAAATCGAGTTTACTGGAAGGCCCGAGGTGTCGATAAAGCGAGCGTGGGGGTGGACCGGTGGGGCTGTAGGTATATGCTATACCCTGCAGAGGTAAAAGTGTCAGGGTGTGATAGCAGGGTTCAGTGGGTGTAAGGGTGAGTGACTATTCCCCTCTGGCAGCCCTGGCTTTGGCTGCAGGCAAGTTGGCTCCCCACTAACCAGTTCAAGGAGTGTTGCTCAAGTGTCTAGAATCGGGAGTAGAAAAGATTCAGATAAACAAATGCATAAATTTATAGGAGATGCAAAGAATTTCCGTCGTTTAGTTTTTCTCCACACCCTCCCCCATGTCTGCTCTCCCTTCCATTTCCCTAGTCCACGGAGAGCCAATACAAAAAAAAACAAACAAGAATTTAAGATTGAGGTCAGGCAGGCGCAGGGATGTTGTCCGACTCAAGTCGCCCAAGGGGTCACGGCCTGAGCTTTCTCCTCTAGCCTCCCCTCTTTCCCAGTCCTTCCTCCGTTGCCCTCCCCATTCCCGTCCCTTCAAACAAACACCACCTTTTCCTTCTTGCAGCTTACTTACCCTAGCTCCATGCAAGACTCATGTTAGAATCTGAAGGGGAAAAAAAGAGTCCATAGACGGTTCGTTTAACAACAAAAAAAAAGACATTGGACTTTGTCGGACTTTTAAGCATTCATCTTCATTATTATTTTAAATAGAAACAAAACATTTATCAGATGCTGCGCTTTGGGGCGCTCCCTCCCCGTTTGCTGAGCTCCGCCCACTCGGGAAGGCGCACCTCAAACTCTTCCGCCCAACCCCCCCCCTTCCCCCAGCCACTGCCAGCCGTGGCGCCCTCCTCTAGGCTCCTGCATTCCCCAACCCACGTGTCCAGCTCCCTTAGGCAGCCCCAAGGGCAGGGTCCCAGCGTTATTTCCGCCCCCTTCTTCGCAGGCTCCTCCCCTCCCCCTACTCCTTCCTCGACGGGCTTTCCCAAGGTGCCCTCTCTCCCGAGAAATCGCTTTATTCTTCTCCCTCCCTGGTGTTACCTGGACCCGACAGAAAACTGCTCCCGACGAAGGTAGATTGGAAGGTAGATTCTTAGTAGAAAGACCTTTTAGAATCTTAGTCCTTTGACATAACTTCCCACCCATTCCTTCCAGTTCCTGGGCCTTAGTCTTGTCCCGAGCCCAGCACCTCCTCCCACCATAGTTCTGCTGCTTGATTTGAGTCACAAACTAGCTCCATACCGCTCATCTCCTTGTCCCAGCCCTCTCAAGCACCATTTTCCCTCTTATCCCGCACTTCCTGGTGCATAAGAATCTTCATTTCTACCCTAGAGGTCGGCGGCAGGTAGCATTTAACGCTGACTTTTCGTCTTTCCCTAATTGGGCGGAGTTTACGAAAGCCCCAAACTAGAGAGAGCTGCTGGCTAGAGTAGGCAGAAGCAGTTGGGCCTAGACGGGCCCTGCTGTGATGACCTTTTCCAAACACAGATGTGCACAAGGACTTTCTATAAACCGGACTGTCTCAGTTCCAGCTGGTTTCCCGTTAAAGGCTCTATATGTGTGACGAAAAGTCTGAGACAATTAAAGTCAAGATTTCGCCCTTGCTCCCTTTGCCAGAGCAGGGTTAGTCAGTGTTCAGAGTACAGCAGAAGCAGTCCCCTGCCCTCAAGCTTTTAATTTCTTCGGAAGACAAAGTTAACACTTGTGAAACAACCAAGGAACTACATATCACCCGTACAAGCTCCTTTTGTGCTGAATTGTGTTGTCTACAATTGTATTTGGACAAGAGATCTGAGAGGAGAGAATGCCTCCTGTGTTGAGAGTAGCATTATATAGTAGAAGGACTGAAGTGAATGTCAGTAGTCTCAACTCTACCATTGACTACTTATGTGACCTTGGTCAAGGTTCCTGACCTTTTTTTGTCTTGGTTTCCTCATTTGTGGAATAGGAAGTTTGGTTAGCCTAGAAGAGCTCTGATGGGCTTTTCCATATCTAAATCTGTGATCTTATGACCTCTAAGCTTCCTACCATCTCTAATATTCTGCAATTCTATGAAGTCAGTTGAGATTTCATAAGTGAAACAATTTGTATAGGTAGAAAATAAGTTTATTTCATCCATGTGGAAAAGTCAATAGAGCCTGGTTACACTTACCTACATCTGATTGGAGAGACTATGTAATGATGCTGTGCATGCTAACTCAACACTCCAACTAGCATTTATTCAGTACCTAATACGTGCTAGGTATTGTGGCTACAAAGATAACCAAGAAACAGTCTTTGCCTCCAAGGAGATAACATTTTATTAATGTACTACTTTTGTATTGTGGTTTACAACAGAATTGTTATTGTCATCATCATTATTATTTACATTATATCCATCTAGATAGACACCCATTTGCCTGCTTCCAACCCATCGGATTCGCTTCTACTTTGCTAGAATGTGTGGATCATAAGACAACTTACCAATTGAAGACTCAAACTCCTCTGAGAGTGAATAGACTGAGGAAAGAGTTCTTAAAAGATCTGGGGTTCAGTGAACTTTAAAAAAAACTATTTTGATAACTGTATTTCTATATAATTAGTTTCTTTTGTAATCGTATGTATTTTATTTTATGCACTTACAAACATTTCTCTGAGAAGGTTTTACCAGACTAACTACCGAAGAAGTCCATAAGAAAAAAAAAAAGTCAAGAACTTTTGGGCTAAGGGAAGCCGGGAGCAAGCAGTTTTTTCTTGGGGAAAGCACAAGCAGTCGGTGCCCGCTTGGGCCAGTCTTAGACCCTCTGACCTCAGCAGCCTTGCACCTAGCGGCTTGGCCCGGGCCTTGCTCTAGGAAGCCATGGATTTTCCCGATTCTCTCCTCAGTCAATTTCTATTTCTGGTAGGACTGCGGGTTCTCTGGAAGGGGCAGCGGGGGCGTGGCTAGCTTCCACCTAAGCCAATAGAGAAGAAGCCCGGGGAACAGGCCCAGCCCCCGCCGTGACGTCTTGACCAGGGACAGAGGCGGCTTCTGAGCCCTACTCCTAGTCCCTGCAGTGGCTGTAACAAAACCCAGACCCCCGGTTCCAGGCTAATGGAGGCAATTTAGACTGCAGCAGGACCTCGTCCATCGTTTGTCAAAAGTCTTATTCGGCAGCAGAGGTAGAGGCAGGAGGACAGCAAGAACCACTTCCCCGCCCCTCCGTTGAGGATTTATTGAGTATTTGCTTTGAGCAATTAAGTTGCTCTGATGATGTTACCAAGCCCGGTCACTTCCACACCTTTCTCTGTCAAAGACATTTTGAATCTGGAGCAGCAGCAACAACAGTACCACGGCGGGCACTTGCAGACGGACTTGGAGCAGCATTTCCATTCGGCCTCCTCCTGCATGTTGGCAGCGGGGGAGGCGGCCCAATTTTCTGATGGGGGGGAGGATGTGGAGGAGGGAGAGAAACTGCCCTATTTAAACTCAATAGCCGCAGCCGAGAGCCACGGGGAGACGGGGATCTGTCCCGAGAGCTATGTCCACACGGTCCTCCGCGGCTCCTGCGGGCCCAAGGACCAAGAAGAGGAGGCCGACGGGGTCGTGAGGGACAGGAGCCAGAGTGAGTAGAGGGGGCAGGAAAAGCGCCCGCACACCTGGAACAAAGGCGGAGGCCCGCACACCTCCCATAAACTGCCAGCAGGGCCTCCCGCTCCTTTAGCCTTTGGTGGGGGTCAGGCCCCAGTCCTGTGCAGCGACAGCTCCGACACAACGCAGGTACCTGCGAGGGAGCAAGGGGCGGGGGTTGGGGGAAGAGGTGACCCCGAAAACCTCAGCCGCAGACTGGAGAGCGAGGCTGTCACCCTGCAAACCGCAAGTGTGGGGAAGGGCGCGTTCCCGGGAGCCTGGGGGGTACGCTAGAGAGCAATGCCACGGACGCTGTGGCTGCCAGCAGCTTTTTGCCCCCGGTCTGAGAACTTGCCCTGCTATTCGTAGTTGTTGTTTTTCCCTTCCCGAAGCTGATAATTTAGTGCAATAGAAAAAAGGAAGCTCCTCCTTCCCGCTATCCCTCAGAGTCAGAGAGGTGTTCTCACGCCCACAGACTGTCGGTCTCCTGCCCCAGGGGCAGCCTGGGCGCTCCCACTCAGTAACCACAAGGCCCACACGGAGGCCAGAACTTGTCGATTTGGGGAGCTCCGTTACGGCAGCCCTTGGGCTATTAGGAGGTGGTGTGAACAGACAACTCCAGGCCTGGGCCTTGTAGAACCCATCCTTCAAGCTTTAGCCTTAGCTGAAAACTCTCAGAGCTTTGCTTTGTGTTTCTGTAGAAGATGCCCTTGGCTTCCCCAGGGACCATTCAACTGGGCTCTGGCGAAAGAGCTTGAGCAAAATCCCTCATAAGATTTCTGAGGAGACTTTGTCAGAGGCATAGAATCATAGTCACACTGAAAGGGATGAACTAAAAGAGATGTTAAAGGTCATCCAGGCCACCCCCCTTTAAAATGAAGATCTTGGGCCCTGTTGCTTTCCTAAGGAGAGTCTGGTGTGGAGGTGGCAGTAAACCTGGGCCTGAAACCTACCTGCAGCTGACACCACACACACACACACACACACACACGCACACACACACACACCCCACACACACCTCTGTGGGTTTGTCTGCTTCTTGTGATGAGAGCCACTGGAAATTCACACAGAAATTTCTAACCACTAAGATTCTTACTTGCGCAGCAGTCCGAAGCCTATTCACAAAGACCCCAAAGTGTAAATGCAAACACATCGCACAACCCACTTGCATACTATACAAGCATTGCACTTAATTGTAAGTGCATAATATCATACATACAGGCTTGGGGTGATGCACACTTCAAGTACAGGAAAGCATTCCTTCGCCCCAGTATTGTACTCAGAGCCACAAATGGTCCCAGATACAGGCACACGCTAGCACACCGATCCCCTGATAATCATTCCCTCCTGCGCAGATGGTGCTTCAAGGCTGATTGAGGGGGACGCTAAGGGACACTGTTGTTTTTTGCTCCTTCCTCAGAAAGCTGTCCGCTGAAGAAGCCGCTTGAGGCTGGAGAGTGTAAGGCGGAGGAAAGCGAGAGGCCGAAGCAGCGAAGCCGGAGAAAGCCCAGGGTCCTCTTCTCTCAGGCTCAGGTTTTCGAGCTGGAAAGGAGATTTAAGCAACAGAGGTATTTGTCTGCGCCAGAGCGGGAGCATCTCGCCAGTAGCCTAAAGCTCACGTCTACACAGGTGAAGATCTGGTTTCAGAACCGGAGGTACAAGTGTAAGAGGCAGCGTCAGGACAAGTCCTTGGAGATGGGGACGCACCCACACCCGCCGCCTCCCAGGAGGGTGGCGGTGCCAGTGTTGGTGCGGGACGGGAAGCCCTGCATCAGTGGGGCGCAGAGTTACAACGCTCCATATAGCGTGGGCACCAACCCTTACTCCTATAACGGCTTCCCGAGCTACGGCTACGGGAACTCGGCGGCCGCCGCCGCCGCCGCCGCGTATAGTGGCAACTACGGCTGCACTTACCCCCGGGAGCAGCGGCGCTGCCGCAGCCGCCGCCATCCCGCCAGCCTGCAACGCGGCAGGAGGCGGCCCCTTTGTGAACGTGAGCAACCTGGGAGGCTTCGGGGGCGCCGCGCAGCCCCTCCAAAGCCTCCACCAGGGCAGCGCAGTGCCCGCCTGCACCCAGGGCACCTTGCAGGGCATCCGAGCCTGGTAGGGGCGGGCGAGGAGGCTCCGGAGCAGCCTGCAGGGTATTCTTCAGACTGAAGG